CATGCTTCATTTAGTCACAAAGGACTTTTTACTAACTTTTGAACCCCTTGTCTGATTTGTGCCATTTTTGAATATGTTGTTCCCCTGAATGGATTGATTGAGAATATGTAATTTTATGTGAATGTGATGTATGGTTTTGGAGTTATGAAAGTTGGGTAGAAAGTATGTTTTAACTGTTTGTATAATTGAGTTTCCTCTCAGGATAAGGGGAGGGAATATGTGGGATGTAACTGTGATATGATTGGTTGTTTTATCCCTCCCTGTGGGTGGTCCTGTATTTGAAACACTGTAATAAAAACCAGGCTGGGTGTGCCAGCACCTCAGACCACTGCTTGATCCTCAACACAGAGCCTTGTCTCGTTCTTGGGGGGATTCACTGTATGCTGTTAGAGACTGATTGCCAGGAGTGTAAGCTGCTTGGGAGCTTTTCCTGTTCGTCTGCTAGCAGCTATTTGGGAGGTTCCAGTTCGGGAGTTGGAGTGCTATTTTGTATCCAGTTTGGGAGTTTGATGTTCTGCAGTAGCTGTGCCTGTATCTCTGGAAAGGGGGCCGATCGCCTAAATGGTTTTTACCCCTTGTGTGCAAAACGGTCCGTTACAATCTTTTTGACATCATTGCTTTTATTGTTAAATTAAAAAATGATAGGTAAAGGCATAGGTTCATCTTTACTTTTAGGTTTATATTTTAGAAGTTCATTTCTGTCTTTATCTTGAATATCCCTAATGGTATTTGCAAGTTCCATTTCTGAGTAGTTTTTCTCAACAAATTTATCTTTTAATATATTGGCTTGTCTATTAAAATCACTTAATTCTGAGCAATTTCTCTGGAGTCGTAATATTTGTGCATTTTTTATTATTCCTATTGTGCATTTTCATTGTGTGTCTATATTTCAGACACCCTAGCCAGCCGCAGCTTTGTGCGTGCCAACAGGGCTCTTTTCTGTTGTCATGACGACGGCTGCAGCCTTGTGCTAGCCATCGTCTTCACTTCCTGTTCTGTATCCATGACGATGGCTGCAGCCTTGTGCTAGCCATCGTCTTCACTTCCTGTTCTGTATCCATGACGACGGCCACAGCTTTGTGCGTACCGCCATCATTACCAACCCCGCCCCTTCCAGTGACGTCAGCTGCAAGGATTATGCGTGCTGACGTTCCTCCCCCTTCTTTCATGTAGACGCCGGCGGCTGCGCAGTGCACCGCGGCAGTTTCGCCAATCACATGACCGGACATATAAGGTTCCCAAAATAGAAAAATAAGCTTTGTTTTCTATGCTCACTCATACTATGAAGTTTATAATGCTCAGTATAATGTATGTACGAATAATTTTACCAGTTATTTTACTGTTTAACTATTTTACTTCTATTTCCATTCTGATTGGCTGCTCACATTCTGGCGCCAATTTTAAATGATTATAGTTGTTATATAAACCCTCCTATGCCAGGTATCAGGTTCTAACTCCATATTGATAACGCCGTATTGGCGAAACGCGTTTATGGATATTATTTTGTGTATTTTTATATATTAAAGTATATTTGGTTACTTTTTATTTTTGCCATTTATCTTTTTATACACATTTATTTATTTATTTTACCTGGCATCTTCTCTACATCCTGGACTCCAAGCAATCCTAGGTGGGGATTATACCACCAGCGCTAACGTTTAGGAGCAGTTGGTCTGCTCTTGTCTTGTGAGTACCCATTTTATTCTATTTTATTTTATCAATATTTTACTCAGTGTACACTATTGGCTGTTTCTCTTTATCCGAGTATTGAATACATCATTGACAGAGGAAGCTCACCGTATATCCCATAAGCGGGGATTAAACCGCTGTGCGCCCTTCATACCGGAGCGAGTCTAACGCTCTGACAAATGTGAGTTTTATTTCAGCCTTTTAATATTTTTATCATTTTATTCTGAAGCATATTGCACTATTTGGGTCTCTACTTTTTTATTTTCTATATACTAACGGATCCATACGGAGGAAAACATAAAGCACTATCGTTCTGGATCAAGCATGAATAGATTCTACGATCCCAACAAGAACATTTTAGATAAGACTTTTCAAATTCTCCTCACTCACTTGGACTATTTGTTATTTTTCATATCAAGACCTCTAATAGAGATATTCTGGAATTCCTGCAACTACGTCTCGACAAAGGTTTAAGCTATAACACCTTAAAGCTACATATTTCAGCTCTTTCAGCCCTTACAGAACACAAATAAGGCTTTGACACACATGTGAACAGATTCATGTCAGCAGTCCTAAAGATAAAGCCTCCTATCAAGTCATTTGCTCCGCCATGGGACTTACCACTGGTATTAAAAACTCTGAGCTGTCATCCTTTTGAACTGCTAAAATCCATCTCCCCTAATTTCCTCACCATCAAGACAGTTCTATTGGTGGCCTTAGCTTCGGGTAGAAGGGTGTCCGAACTCCATGCCCTATCAGCCAAAGAACCATTTACAGTCTTCCACATGGATAGAGTAATTTTAAGAACTGTTCCTGAATTTTGACCAAAGGTTATCTCAGCCTTCCACATTAACAAAGAGATAGTGCTTCCAGCACTACAGTCGGAAGAACTAGAAAATTAAGCAGAACCCAAGCCCTCTTTCTTAGATTTGGTGAGATGTCTGTCAATTTATCTGCAAAGATCATCTGCATGGCGTATCTCTCAAAGACTGTTCATTATTCCCAACGGACCCAGAAGAGGTATTCAAGCATCCAAAGTAGCCATCAGCAGATGGATTGTATCTTCCATCATACAAGCCTACAAAGCATCAAAAATGAAGATCCCAGAAGGTCTTAAAGGAACACTAAAGTCACCTAAATTACTTTAGCTAAATAAAGCAGTTTTAGTGTACAGATCATTCCCCTGCAATTTCACTGCTCAATTCACTGTCATTTAGGAGTTAAATCACTTTGTTTCTGTTTATGCAGCCCTAGCCACACCTCCCCTGGCTATGATTGACAGAGCCTGCATGAAAAAAAAACTGGTTTCACTTTCAAACAGATGTAATTTACCTTAAATAATTGTATCTCAATCTCTAAATTGAACTTTAATCACATACAGGAGGCTCTTGCAGAGTCTAGCAAGCTATTAACATGGCAGAGGATAAGAAAATCTTAATTAAACAGAACTTGCAATAAAGAAAGCCTAAATAGGGCTCTCTTTACAGGAAGTGTTTATGGAAGGCTGTGCAAGTCACATGCAGGGAGGTGTGACTAGGATTCATAAACAAAGGGATTTATCTCCTAAATGACAGAGGATTGAGCAGTGAGGATGCAGGGGCATGTTCTATACACCAAAACTGCTTCATTAAGCTAAAGTTGTTCAGGTGACTATAGTGTCCCTTTAAGGCTCACTCAACAAGGTCCCTTTCTTCATCTTGGGCAGCGGCGGCTAAAGTATCACCAGAACTTATTTGCAAAGCAGCCACTTGGTCCTCTACAAATACTTTTATAAGGCATTACCAAATTGGCGTGAAAGCTGGCCAGTTGGACCAATTTGGTAAAACTGTTCTTTCTGCATCCAACTCATAGTTTGATTATGTCTGTGATTTCACATGTGGTTTTTCTAATACACTGGCATTCCTGAAATATTGAGTATGAGTTTTTAATCCCTCCCTTGGTTATTGCTGGGGTATTACCCATTGTTGTGCTCCCATGGATATGGCAAGGAAATAGGAAAATGTATTCATACTTACCGTAATTTTCTTTTCCTGATCATAGGCCATGGCAGCACAGAGATCCCACCCTGGCATATTGCTGGTAACAAGACTGAGGGAGGAGATGGTGGGAGGGGGTATTTATACCCTTATTTTAAATTAGTTCTGTCTAATTAGGGATAGGGAGGAGCTACCGATTGTTGTGCTGCCATGGCCTATGGCCAGGAAAAGAAAATTACGGTAAGTATGGATACATTTTACTCTTTACATTACACACACTGTATATTTATAATATTATACACACTGTATTATTATATATTTATATTATTATACACTGTATTATTATATATTTATATTACACACACTGTATATGTATAATATTATACACACTGTATTATATATTTATACTACACACACTGTATTACTGTAGATTTATATTACACACACTGTATTTATATTATTATGCACACTGTATTACTCTATATTTATATTACACACACTGTATAATTATATATTTATATTATACACATTGTATTACTGTATATTTAGATTACACACATTGTATTATATATTTATATTATTACACAACCTGTATTATTATATATTTATATTACACACGCTGTATATTTATAATATTATACACTATATTATTATATATTTATATTACAAGCACTGTATATTTATATTATATACACTGTATTATATATTTATATTACACACACAGTATGTTTATTTTATTACGCACACTGTATAACTATATATTTATACTATTATGGGATGGGACCACCATTCACATATTATATATTTATATTACACACACTGTATATTTATATTATACACTGTTTATTATTATATATTTATATTACACACACTGTATATTTATATTATACACTGTTTATTATATATTTATATTACACACACTGTACATTTATAATATTATACACTCTGTATTATTATATATTTATATTACACACACGGTATATTTATAATATTATACACACTGTATTATTATATATTTATATTACACACACAGTATGTTTATTTTATTACACACACTGTATAACTATAAATTTATATTATTATGGGATGGGACCACTGTTCACATAAAGTTGGCGGAGTCCCGAACCACCAGGGGGGACCTTATAGAATAAAAATTCGTACTAGTGGTATAGACCTTTATTAAGCCGAATATTCTAAAATAAAAAAAAGATGTGAAAAAAATATATGTGTAAACCAAACATGAGTGAAACCAAAATACTAAACTAAGTGATAATACACCTTTACAATCTGGGTAGAGTTATCTTGAACAGCCACATTCAGAGAAGAAAATGTTAGGTTACAAATATGGAGATCTTCCAAAGTAATTCATAGATGGATAGATATCTACCATTCAGTAGATAATAAGTGGCTACAAAATGCAGAGGCCGTATGTGGTTAAATCTTATCTCAGGGGTACAGAGAATATATCAAGGCGGTGGCCAATAATCATTAAGCTGTATATCAATGTCTAACCCCTAGTGAGACAGAGGAGTATTAAACACACTAAATTGATACAAAAGTATCAAAGTGTATCTATGGGCTGTTCAATATATTCAGGATTCATGCCCTTGGGTACCTTTGTAACCTTTTGAGAAAGACACCTGTGCTGGGTTTTTTTTCCAACACAGTAGCCTTTCTCTCTCTTATTCTCCATTTATATTATTTTACACAGTGTATTACTGTATATTTATATTACACACCCTGTATTATTATATATATTTATATATATATTATTATACACACTGTATTATTATATATTTATATTACACACATATATTTACAATATGATACATACTGTATTATTATATATTTATAATATTATACACTCTGTGTTATTATATATTTATATTACACACACAGTATATTTATAATATTATACACACTGTATTATTATATATTTATATTATACACTCTGTATTATATTTATATTACACACACTGTATATTTATAATGTTATACACACTGTATTATTTATAGTATTATACACACTGTATTATATATTTAAATTACACACACTGTATATTTATAATATTATACACTCTGTATTATCATATATTTATATTATACACACTGTATTATTATATATTTATATTACACACACACTATATTTATATTATACATACTGTACTATTATATATTTATATTACACACATTGTATATTTACATTATACACTGTATTTTTATATATTATATTACACAAACTGTATATATTATACATACTGTATGATTATATATTTATATTATACACACTGTATCATTATATTATACATACTGTATTATTATATATTATATTACACACACTGTATAGTTACATTATACACACTGTATTATATATTTATATTACACACTGTATATTTATATTATACACACTGTATTATTATATATTTATATTACACACACTGTATATTTATATTACACACACTGTATTTGTAGCGGAGCTGCAATATGAAATCCCAATATCTCCGCTGGTAAAATAAGGTAATCCAAGGAAAGCGCTGAAAATTAAAACAATATCCCAAATCCCCCCAGTAACCGGACGAAAACACAGTTCTGGGTGTCAACTGCTGATTTTATTCACAAGCTCCAGTATTTATGTGGTTCCCCATGCCAGGGGTTTCCTTACTGACTTTACAGGGGTTGTACAGTAGGGGACTACATGGGAGACTTAACATACAGAACATTTCTCCCACCATGCACTGCTGTACGAGAGGGATACTCCCATTAGAATATCCTGTTAAGTAAATTATCCCTCCGTACAGCAGAACCGGCTTTTCCCATAAAAATCCGTAACTTACATATTATTCGTGCCATTGTACCGAATGACCATTCAGCAGATAGCCGGGGTCTGAGCACATTCTTCATGAAAGTACCGCTCAGATCCCAGCAAAATCAGCCGACCGCTAGGAGCATCCTGAGGTACCCAGTCGGGGTGCCAGGTGATCCGTTACAGTATGATTTTGACGTAAGTTTGGATTTGGAGTATGCTGATTCTGAAAATGTGAATGTGATGTATACTTTTAGAGTTATGAATATTGTGTAAAAAAACACACAAAAATGTGTATTTTCCTGCCTGTGATAATTACATTAGACCATTGTGTTCAGTAATTATATCACAGGCAGATGGGAGGATTTTGTGTGGGAGTGTCTGAGTGTATTGTACGGATTGATTGGTTGTTCTGCAAAACCCTGTGGGCAGTACTATGTGTGTAAAATGTGCATAAAAGCAGAGTGTTTGATTAAAAGTTTCAGTTCTACTTCACCTTCAATTTGGAGTCTCGTCTCTTATTGGGGGATCTGCTACAAGGGATTGCTATGCTCTGCATATTCCCTTGCTATAATCACTCCTAAGCTCTTGTAAGAGCTTGTTCCTGCTTCACTCTGATTGAAGAGAGGTTCGGCCTGCGGTGGTTGTGGTGTCTGCTAGAGTGCTTGGAGTCCTCAGGAAGCACTAGGAGCGTCCTTCAACAGAGGTACCCAGTCGGGGTGCCAGGTGATCCGTTACACCACCTGAAAGCTGTGGTCCCTGGCTCCCCTATCATACCATCAGCGCTGGCATTGTTGGGCCACTTGGAGGTTTACCCTTAATGTCTGGGTTAGTGCCTCCAAGCAGTCCCTGAATTCAAGCACATACGGTACAATGAGTATCCCATCTGTACTGCTTTCCCCTTCCCAATGTTCTCTAATTAAATCTAAAGGTCCCCTCACTCTCCTCCCAAACAGCAATTCAAAGGGAGAGAACCCGGTGGATTCTTGAGGTACTTCTCGGTACGCAAAAAGCAGATGGGGTAAAAATCTCTCCCAGTCCTTATGGGCCTCTCCAAACGTACGGAGCATCTGCTTTAAAGTTTCATTGAACCTTTCATATAACCCATTGGACTGAGGGTGGTACGCAGAATTCACAATAGGCTTAATGCCACATAGTTTCCAGAGTTGGTGGGTCACTTCGGCTGTTTACTGCGTACCCCTATCAGAGATTAGCTCCTGGGGAAATCCTACCCGGGAAAGGATTTTCATTAAGGCTTCTGCCACTGTCTCAGCATGAATGTTAGAGAGGGCCACTGCCTCGGGGTACCGGGTGGCGTAATCTACCACAGTCAAGATGTATTTCTTGCCGGAAGGACTAGGTTTGGGTAAGAGTCCTATTATGTCAACGGCCACTCTACTAAACGGTGTCACGGGTGGTGGTCCAGTGCCCGGGACCCAGACACTGATGATAAGTGGGAGTCTTCAGCGTGGAAGTGGATTATCAGGGCCTGGTGCAGGGTAACCACACGCCCCCTGTTGTTTGCGCGGCCACATACCAGAACCCTGATGCAGCTACAGCGAATCCCAGGAACTAGGAGCTTGATATGCAGACCTCCCAAGAACTGGATAGGGGGGCTCTGCAGCAGACATGTATCCAGTACAGAAACAAGGCAAGGCTAGAACAGGCACCAAATATGAAAACAAGACAGAACTAGTAGAACCCAGAACCAGAGAAGGATAGGAAGCTAAACCCAGAACATGTACACAATACATAAGGGAACATTAACTAAACAGGGGCAGGACAGAACTGTACATAGATTGGGTTAACAAAATAAAACAAGACAAGATATAATAGGCAAAACAAGAGGAGACATAACTAAGCACTGGGGATTTAGTCACATTATATGATCATACATTGCATAAGCCTGCCACAACGCCAATGTACCCCATATGTGGCAGGTCCTACACTGTCTAATGCAAGCTAAAACAACCATACTAAACCACAATATAGCACTTACCTGCAAGAAAGGGCAGAAGCCTTGAGCAGCTGCCTGCAGGACACTGAAACAAAAGGAATGATGGAAAACAAACAGGTGTGGCAACATAAAACAAACATTTAAAGGAAACCTGGACACTGGGAATTCCAGGGACGGATTACAGGAATAAACCCAGAAACCCAGCATAAAGAAAACCAGACATAGACTAGAAAACCAAAAAACCAAGAAAAACTAAACAACAATTGTAAAAAGAATACTGGATACCAGAAACCAAAGCCAGACATCTCCGCAGAACATGGCATGATGTGACAAACGGCTCTTCTATAATGGGTAGGGGACATAATTTGGCCTTGTGTCGGTCACCCCTTTTGTCTACTCTCTGACAAATGTCACATGTCTGGCAGTATTGTCTAACATCTTTAGATATACCTGGCTAGAAGAATGCATGGGTCCGTCGGTACCTAGTTCGGGTCATACCCAGATGCCCAGACAACGGGATGAGCAATCTTAAGGAGTTCTTGTCTGTATTTCTGAGGGACTACCAGCTGTCTAGTAATAACATTTACCAATCCCCCCACTACCCTTTCAGCAATACGATACAATAACCCCTTTTCCCAGGCGTACCGCTCCCCCTCTAAACCTGTCTGATCAGCTGTCACCCAATCCCGATATACCTTCAACGTAGGGTCTAACTTAACCTCTGTCTCAAATTCAGTCGGGGTATCCCAGGGAACACAAGTTATAGGAGTTACATTGTCTCTTACCTGAGCCTCAGAGTGTGTGGATGCAGTCATGGTGCGAGCCTGTTGCCTTGTGGTTACCGGATGCGCCTCTTGGAGAGGGGCTTGAGGTACAAAAGCCGACGTCATTCTGCCTAGGTCATTCCCCAATACCACATCTGCCGGCATTTTTTGCATCAAGCCCAACTCTACCATCTCTTCCCCCACACCCCAATTCAAGTGTACTTTTGATGTGGGCAATCTGTACATTGCCCGTCCTCCCCCCGTTACTTAGACTGTCACGGATCCGCCGGTATGTGCTGAGCCTGGAACTAGATGAGGGGCCACTAGGGTCAGAGTGGCCCCCGAGTCTCGGAGCCCTTGTATTTCTTTCCCCTCCAAGGCTACCATCTGGCGATGAGGGTGCCTATTGTCTGTGGCTTGTACCGACATCACGTCATGCAATATTCCCAGGAGCTCTTTGGTGTGATTAAACATTAGCTAAACATTAGGGGCGTTGGCTCTGCTTGGTAGTGGTGCGCGGCTGCTCGTAGTGCTGGGTTCAGTCGTACTTGGCTCCTTGCTTGACGGCTCCGGTTCTGCATACATTCTCTTGCCATGTGGCCCCATTGCTTGCAGTTATGGCACTGAATGTTAGATCGACCATTGTATCGGGACGGTGGGCTTTGCCCCCCAGTTGCTGGCCGGAATGGTGCGGTTGTGGGTGCGGGGGTAGTAGCTGTAGGTGGCTGTGTGGTGGGTCGAGGATACCCTCGATTGAGGTTACCATAATGTCTCCTGGCGTCATAGTGCTGGTCCGCCAGTCGTGCAGCTTCTGTTAGGGTGAGGGGTTTTCTGTCTCTCACCCATTCTTGTGCCTCTGGTGTCAGCCCATTGAAACTGCTCTAACAACAGCAGATGGCTTAGCTCCTCCATAGTGGTGGCTTGACTGGCTTGTATCCACCCCTGGGAGGCTTGATCAAGCTTGTGTGCCCATTCTGCGTGGGAATCTTTATCTGGTTTGTGCAGCCCTCTAAACTTACGCCAGTATGCCTCAAGTGTAATGGCATATCTCTCCAATATAGCTTGTTTCACTTTGGCATAATTTTTACTGTCCTCTCTGGGCAAGGCTCGGTATGCTTCTGCTGCCTGACCAGATAATTTGCCCGCCAGTAAGGGTACCCAAACTGTCTGCTCCAGATCATGCAGGTCACACAGTCTTTCAAAATCCTGTAGGTACCCATCAATCTCATCTTTCTCTTCACGGTATCTTTGGCTTTACCTGGCTGGTGATGGAAGCAGCAATAGATTCTGCCCTGGAGGGTGAGTCCTGCTGTCTGTGTGCCATCACATACTCCTGCACATCTGCCATCAGTACCGTCAGCATTTCCAGAGGTCCTGGCTGGGGTAGGAATTCCAGTCTGGTTCTCATCTCTTTCTGGAATGGTGTCTCTTCCATGTCGGGTGTAGGAGTAGCACTGCGGGCTCTGTCTCCCTCCATCAGTTCAGCAATAAGTACAGCTTTTGACTTATTGCTGGCTATCTTACCCCTGGCTTCCAATAGCTCTTTCAGCGTTTGCCGTTTTAATGTAGTATAATCTATCTCCAGTCACCTCTGAGTTTGTTTCTTTGTTGCATACGAATTGTCATTCAATTTTCATGTTCGTCAGTTTCAATTGCACGAACCACGCTTTTCGACTGTAAGGTTGGATCCCGTCGCTTGCCACCAATTGTAGTGGAGCTGCAATATGAAATCCCAATATCTCCGCTGGTAAAATAAGGTAATCCAAGGAAAGCGCTGAAAATTAAAACAATCTCCCAAATCCCCCTAGTAACCGGACGAAACACAGTTCTGGAGTCAACTGCTGATTTTATTCACAAGCTCCAGTATTTATGTGGTTCCCCATGCCAGGGGTTTCCTTACTGACTTTACAGGGGTTGTACAGTAGGGTCTACATGGGGGACTTAACATACAGAACATTTCTCCCACCATGCACTGCTGTACGAGAGGGATATTCCCACTAGAATAGCCTGTTAAGTAGATTATCCCTCCGTACAGCAGAACCGGCTTTTCACATAAAAATCCGTAACTTACATATTATTCGTGCTATTGTACCGAATGACCATTCAGCAGATAGCCAGGGTCTGAGCGCATACTTCCTCCTTGTATGGTCTTCTGTGATCAGTTGCTGGTATATGCTGGATACTTTGCCTGGTACATCTGCGTCAGTGGTGCAAAGATGTTCGAACCACGTCGTTTCCCTGTGTACTGCCTCTCTATTGGGCAGGTTGTGGTAGAAGTGTCTTAGTTGTGCATAGTGGTATCTATGCATCATCGTGTGTTGTTCTGTAGTTGACCATTCTCGTAGAGTTCTCAGTCCTGCGTTATTCAGTGCCCCTTTCAGGGGGATGAAATTTCCTTCAGATGTTATGGGCCATGCAGTTGTCTGCAGTCCTCCTCCTATCGCTTTGTTGTATGTCAGTGGGATTAAAGGGCTTGGTTGGGGTGATATGTGTTGTTTCTTCCTTAGATTTGTCCAAGTTTTCAGCGTCTGTATAATGGGGGATTCATTACTCAGGTGTTGTTTAGCGTCTGTAGGGCCTTGCCATATGTACGTGTATAGGGCCTTGTTCGTACTCTCCCTGTCTAGGGCCACCCATAGTTTGGTCGCTGTCGCCGCGTGCCATTCCCAGATTCGTTGGAGTACGGTTGCGTGATAGTATTTTCGTAGGTCTGGCAGAGCTAGCCCGCCCCACATTTTTGGGAGGCATAACTTGTCATGCCGGAGGCGTGCTCTCTCTCCTTTCCATACATATTTTATTACCGCCGTTTTGAGTGTTGCGAAGAAATCTTGTGGTATGTGCCAGGGAATGGTGCTGAAGTGGTATAATAGCCGCGGCAAGATGTTCATTTTAATTACCGCTATGCGTCCATGCCAGGAGATATAGTCATAATGAGGTCCATCAGGATTGTGCGTAGGAGGGGGGTATAGTTCCTGCAATATAATTCCTTTGGGTTACTAGGTATCCAGATTCCCAGGTAGCGCATTTGCTCTGTACACTAGTGGAAAGGGTATCTGCGTCGGATTTCTTCCCGCACGGCCGTTGGCGAGGCAATGTTTAGAATTTCGCATTTTGACAGGTTTAATTTTAAACCCGATATCCGTCCATATGCCTCAAATTCTTCCATCAAGGCTGGGAGCGTGTGTAGTGGGTTGTCTACAAAAAAGAGCATGTCGTCTGCGTATGCAGCTACCTTGTGTTCTTGGGAGTATCTGAATTTGTGCATGGGAGCTGGTGGGCCTTCCATTAGGCGTTCCAGGGGGGTCAGTCCAGTGGCGGTTAGCGTTTTGTGGAGTGGTATGAAGTCCCTTCCCTGCAGAAAGTCCCAGGCCTTGATCGGTAGTCCTCCCCCCAATGCTTGGTTGTGTGTTAGCGTGGTCAGCGGGCTGGGTGTTGGGGAGATGATCGCTGCGTTCCTCATTGTTGACCATATGTGGAGGGTATGACTCGCCGGAGAGGGTGCGCCGGGGTCATTATTCCGTGGCATTTTCTGATTCCATAGGGATGCAAAAATGGATGGGCTGCATGATTCTTTGTCCAAGGCCACCCATTGTTTGCATCTCGGGTTAGTGTGCCATTCCAGTATCCGTTGTAGGGCTGTCGCTTGGTGGTATTTGCGCAGGTCTGGGAGTGCCAATCCGCCCTGACTCCTGGTCTTGCATAGTATTTCATATCTCAGTCGAGGTCTGCATCCTCTCCAGACATAGGTCAGGAATGCGGTTTTCAGTGTCGCGAAAAAGGTCGTCGGTAATGCCACTGGGATCATATGGAACAAATATAGTAGCGGTATATTCATTTTGATGACCGCTATGCGTCCGAACCATGAGATGTGTTGATAATTCCAGGTTCGGAGGTCTTGTTGAATGCGTGTGAGGAGTGGGAGAAAGTTTTTCTGGCAGATGGTGCTGGGGTCCGCCATCACCCATATCCCCAGGTATTTCATTTGGGTTTGGCACCATCGGAACGGGAAGGTCGAGGCTATATCCCCGTGTTCCCCCAGTGGGTCCGTGATGTTGAGCAGTTCGCATTTGCTTAATTAAGTTTGAGGCCCGAGAGGTGTCCGTATTTTTCAAATTCTCTGTATTATTATATATTTATATTACACACACTGTATATTTATATTTCACACACTGTATTATTATATATTATATTACACACACTGTATTATTATATATTATATTATACACACTGTATTATTATATATTTATATTACACACACTTTATTATTATATATTATATTACACACACTGTATATTTATATTACACACACTGTATATTATACACACTGTATTATTATATATATTACACACACTGTATATTACACACACTGTATTATGATATATTATATTACACACACTGTATTATTATATATTATATTACACACACTGTATTATGATATATTTATATTATACACACTGTATATTATATATTACACACACTGTATTATTATATATTTATTTTACACATACTGTATTATTATATATTATACACACTGTATTATTATATATTATATATTACACATACTGTATTATTATATATTATATTACACATACTGTATTATTATATATTATATATTACACACACTGTATTATTATATATTTATATTATACACACTGTATTATTATATATTATATATTACACACACTGTATATTACACACACTGTATTATTATATATTATATATTACACATACTGTATTATTATATTATATATTACACACACTGTATTATTATATATTATATATTACACACACTGTATATTACACACACTGTATTATTATATATTATATATTACACACACTGTATATTATACATACTGTATTATTATATATTATATATTACACACACTGTATTATTATATATTATATATTACACATACTGTATTATTATATTATATATTACACACACTGTATTATATATTATATATTACACATACTGTATATTACACACACTGTATTATTATATATTGTATATTACACACACTGTATTATTATATATTATATATTACACATACTGTATTATTATATTATATATTACACACACTGTATTATTATATATTATATATTACACACACTGTATATTACACACACTGTATTATTATATATTATATATTACACACACTGTATATTATACACATACTGTATTATTATATATTATATATTACACACACTGTATTATTATATATTATATATTACACATACTGTATTATTATATTATATATTACACACACTGTATTATATATTATATATTACACATACTGTATATTACACACACTGTATTATTATATATTGTATATTACACACACTGTATTATTATATATTATATTATTACACATACTGTATTATTATATTATATATTACACACACTGTATTATTATATATTATATATTACACACACTGTATATTACACACACTGTATTATTATATATTATATATTACACACACTGTATATTATACACACTGTATTATTATATATTATATATTACACACACTGTATATTATACACACTGTATTATATATTTATATTACACACACTGTATTATTATATATTATATATTACACACACTGTATATTATACACACTGTATTATATATTTATATTACACACACTGTATTATTATATATTATATATTACACACACTGTATTACACTGTATATATAATGATAACTCTAATCTTATATATTATATATATTTTTTAATCCCATCTGTAGATTTAGCCTGGAACTGCCTTATACCATTTAGCAACGTTCCTTGAATAGAATCGACAACACCACAACTACAACTCCCGGCGGCCTTTGTGTTTCTGTGACGTAGCAGTAGTCAGCCAATGAGCGGTGGTTATGAGGGGGCTTTGGAACGCAAACAGAAAGCATCGGACAGTGAACGCCTGCTTCCGGGTGCTTATTTCCGGTCACATGTTCCCACTGCGGTCACATGATCCAAACTCTTGCTGGTCAGTGACGTCCTATCTATATATTATATCTATATATTATCTATATATTATATCTGTATATTATATCTGTATATTATATCTATATATTATCTCTATGTTATATCTCTATGTTATATCTGTGTGTGTTCCATATTCTATATATTATATCTGTAAATTATCTATATATGATATCTGTATATAGCATAATATATTAATTATCTCTATTTATATTATATCGGTATATTATCTATATATCATACCTGTATGTAGCATTATATATTCTCTCTATATTATAACTATATATTATATCTATATAATATAAATAAATTATCTCTCAATATATTAGATCTATATAATATATATACATTCTCTCTACATATTATATCTGTATAGTATATATTAATTATCTCTATATATATATCTTTATAGCATTATATAATAATGATATATTATATCTATATATAGTATTATATATTAATTATCTCTATGATATCTTTATGCATTATATATTAATTATCTCTATATATGATATCTTTATACAATTATATTTATATATTATATCTGTATATAGCATTATATATTATATCTATTCTATCTGTATATAGCATTATATATTAATTATATCTTTAAATTAATGAGTACCGTTAAATTGGGTAATAGTAACAACTCCTGGATGTTGAGCTAAGGTAACATCCCCAGGATGTACTTCAAAACCAGAGTAATCTGAATGTGCCTTTCCTAGTTAAATACTTTGCTGTTATGATTTATTATTATATCTGTATATAGCATTTTATATTAATTATATTTATATATTCTGTGTTATAAGTGGCAGCTGGGACTGTATATAAGATTATATCTGAATTATCTCTCTGTTATAAATGGGAGCTGGGACTGTATATAGTATTATCTCGCTGTTATAAATGGGAGCTGGGACTGTATATAGGATTATCTCTGTGTTATAAGTGGGAGCTGGGACTGTATATAGGATTATCTCTGTGTTATAAATGGGAGCTGGGACTGTATATAGGATTATCTCTGTGTTATAAGTGGGAGCTGGGACTGTATATAGGATTATCTCTGTGTTATAAATGGGAGCTGGGACTGTATATAGGATTATCTCGCTGTTATAAATGGGAGCTGGGTCTGTATATAGGATTATCTCTGTGTTATAAGTGGGAGCTGGGACTGTATATAGGATTATCTCGGTGTTATAAATGGGAGCTGGGTCTGTATATAGGATTATCTCGGTGTTATAAATGGGAGCTGGGACTGTATATAGGATTATCTCGGTGTTATAAATGGGAGCTGGGTCTGTATATAGGATTATCTCGGTGTTATAAATGGGAGCTGGGACTGTATATAGGATTATCTCGCTGTTATAAATGGGAGCTGGGTCTGTATATAGGATTATCTCTATGTTATAAATGGGAGCTGGGACTGTATATAGGATTATCTCAGTGTTATAAATGGGAGCTGGGACTGTATATAGGATTATCTCTGTGTTATAAATGGGAGCTTGGTCTGTATATAGGATTATCTCGATGTTATCTCGGTGTTATAAATGGGAGCTGGGACTGTATATAGGATTATCTCTGTTATAAATGGGAGCTGGGACTGTATATAGGATTATCTCGGTGTTATAAATGGGAGCTGGGACTGTATATAGGATTATCTCGGTGTTATAAATGGGAGCTGGGACTGTATATAGGATTATCTCGGTGTTATAAATGGGAGCTGGGACTGTATATAGGATTATCTCTGTGTTATAAATGGGAGCTGGGACTGTATATAGGATTATCTCTGTGTTATAAATGGGAGCTGGGACTGTATATAGGATTATCTCGCTGTTATAAATGGGAGCTGGGTCTGTATATAGGATTATCTCTGTGTTATAAATGGGAGCTGGGTCTGTATATAGGATTATCTCGGTGTTATAAATGGGAGCTGGGACTGTATATAGGATTATCTCTGTGTTATAAGTGGGAGCTGGGACTGTATATAGGATTATCTCGGTGTTATAAATGGGAGCTGGGACTGTATATAGGATTATCTCGGTGTTATAAATGGGAGCTGGGACTGTATATAGTATTATCTCTGTGTTATAAATGGGAGCTAGGATTGTACAAGCTATACATCCTGCATATTGTTCGTTGATAGAGGGATGGTGTGCCCGAAATGTTTGTACTATTTTGTGTGACATATATTACCACTTTGTGCCGCAGCTCAAAGTTCAGCTAAGTTCTTATTAACATGTACTCTATATCATTACTAGCAGTATTAGTCTGGCTAACTCTCAATTTCTGTTTTTTAGCTGGATTTAACACATTTTAAATTTTCTTAAAGTCATTTAGGTTCATGAACCTTTAGAGCTTGTCCTCAGAGCTTGTTCCTGGCCTAGTGAAAATGAAAGGGGAACGGTATCAAGTGACAGAGATCATGGATCTCACCATGGAGATCATCTGCCTGCTGACTGGAGAGGTGAGGGATTCTGGGTAATGTCATTATGGAGATCATCTACCTGCTGACTGGAGAGGTGAGGGATTCTGGGTAATGTCACCATGGAGATCATCTACCTGCTGACTGGAGAGGTGAGGGATTCTGGGTAATGTCATTATGGAGATCATCTACCTGCTGACTGGAGAGGTGAGGGATTCTGGGTAATGTCAGTATGGAGATCATCTACCTGCTGACTGGAGAGGTGAGGGATTCTGGGTAATGTCATTATGGAGATCATCTACCTGCTGACTGGAGAGGTGAGGGATTCTGGGTAATGTCATTATGGAGATCATCTACCCGCTGACTGGAGAGGTGAGGGATTCTGGGTAATGTCAATATGGAGATCATCTACCTGCTGGCTGGAGAGGTGAGGGATTCTGGCTAATGTCATTATGGAGATCATCTACCTGCTGACTGGAGAGGTGAGGGATTCTGGGTAATGTCATTATGGAGATCTACCTGCTGACTGGAGAGGTGAGGGATTCTGGGTAATGTCACCATGGAGATCATCTACCTGCTGGCTGGAGAGGTGAGGGATTCTG